TTTTGGAATTATATTTGATTTATGGATAATATTTGTTTGGAAAATACAAAAATATATATACTGTGTATATACTGGCGGCTGGGTTAAACAGGGCATCAAAAAGGGGGTTATAGTTTGGTGTGGTGCAGCACACAATAACTTTGTGTGCGTGTGAATCAGAGCCTTTGAGAATTAAAAATAATACATTGATTAATTCAGTGTGGTACGGCGCATGGAACTATGGTGTGCAACAAGTCAAAGGCCATTGAATGCAATTTGATCAATGGAATAGATCTGGTGTGTTGCGGGTAACATTAATATGGTGCGCGCAAGAATTGGAGGGCTGAGATGCGCTGATGGGGAGCGGCTGATCCGGTGTGGTGCGCTCATGCGGTAGCGAGGAGAGTGGCCAATCAGAGTACGCCACATCAGCCAAAAGAAGGAACAGGCGCGTGGCAGCGCGTGTAACGCGCGTGGGGGCGCGTGATGGAACCTGCCAGCTAAGGTGGCGCGTGGAAGCGCGTGAGAGGTGTTTAGGAGCGTGTGGTGGCACGTGGGGGTGCGTGAAACACTGTTTAGGGTCCTGTTAAGGTCCTTTGAGGTCCAGTGAATTTCCAGAATTGGTTTTAAGGCCATTGGGGTTGAAACAACCATTAGAGGAGGTATTCTTGGTTTCCTGAAAGCCATAGAATGTTACTACAATGATTGATAGCATTTATTTTGCGTAAATATAATAACTTATTATATTGTTATGGAATGTGGTGTATATATGTATATAATATAATTACATATGTATACGTGTATACATGGACTTTATTAAAGTATGATCAGTATATATATATATATATATATATATATCTAAGATTTAAATAATCAAGGATTATTAGGGAAAGATTATACACATATATATTATATAATATATGTGTATATATATGTATTTTAATTAAGATTGTGATATGCTTACAATTGGCATGAGATGACTATGTGTGAATTAACTATCATTGAGTCTACAGTTGGTATATGGTTGAATTGTAGGCATGGATGAGTTGCCATAGGTGTAAATATATATTGCCTAAGTATATGTATGAATAAAATATAAATAGGAAGCATGGATGAATTGCTAATTAAATGTATGAATAAATATACCTGTGGAGGCATGGTTGAATTGCCAATGTATAAATATACATACACGGAGGCATGGTTGAATTGCCAATGTATAAATAAATATACTTATGGAGGCATGGTTGAATTACCAATATATAAATAAAAATATTTACAATGGCATGGTTGATTTGCCAAAGCATAATTACGTTGTTATGTGTTAGATGATTAAAATATCATCTATGGTTGTTGTATGTATGGATTGGATTAGGGTTAGATATTCTTAAATGAGAATAGTTTAGTACTTACTGGTTAGTGTATTATTTTACATTAATAAAATAATATTGGGGAAGACGTGGATGATTTGTCAAAACTTGGATTTTGGATATGTGATTTAAACAATTAAAATCATTATCGGGTTGGGATTAAATAGAGTATTTCTTTTATTATAATTTGTTGTTTAAATGATTAAACAACTGACTAGGATGGGATTAAGGTCAAAGAAGTTTTTATAAAATGAAATGGTAGATTGGTCTAGGTATGAATATTATTTTAATAATTATTTAATAGGTATGGAAATTTAATAAACCTATTAATGGATGTGATTAGTATAGTATATATAATTATATATAGACATGTATATCGTGCTTTATTAAAGTTAAAACTTTATTAGGTTTGGTTTTGATCAGAGATGATCTGCTTATTGGTTTTCAGAGGCCTGGTAGAGTGAACTTGCTCGTAGGGTTTAACCCACGATTTATTTTTCAGGTTATTAGAGGTTCCAGTCTCGAGGTTGAGGATCCGCTGCTGGGAGACTGTCATTCGTCTATTCATCTTGTGTACTTTTAAATAGTATTGGATTATTGGATAATGTTTTAAGGGGTCCTTGAGTTATGGGATTTCCGAATTGTAATTGTTGGAGAATCATTAAGTAATATTTATTTATTAGTTTTCTTCAGCGGTTTATTTATTCTTTATTATTCATCTTTGTATTCTGTGCTTGTTAAATACTTAAATTGTTTTGATATCCCTTGATTTTGTGCGCGGACTTGATCAATCCGTGTTCCAAAATTAGGGGGTATCACACCTACCACCCCACCTACCACTTTTATCTCTTTCCCAAAATATCTCAGAGATTTGTCTTTATTCAAAAAGGCGCTGCCAAGGATGATCGATATCTGCAGTATTCGATGGATCTCAGCATAGTTCGATCAATCTCACCACAATTCGATCGATCGAACCTCCTTAAGTTCGGAAAAAAATAGATTCCAGCTTATTAAAGTTGGCTCATGGTGCAATCATTGGAAGGACCTTGGTGTACGAGCCCAGACTATTAGGTGTGACACTTGACCTACCTATATAAGGATTTGGAATCATTTATTCATCATAATGGATTATTCATCATATCTCATATCTTAGAAAGAAGGCTAGAGACTAGAGAGCTTTTCACACACCTTTAGGAGTTCTTCCATTCTTCTAGGGTTTCCATCAAGAAGGAGGTCATTCCTACCATGAAGATAGCCCTTGAGGGTTGGATGACTACTTTAATGAGTGGCTAGACATCTACTTGGGGCTAGAGTAGCCCCTAAGTTTGCTTCTTAGACTCAGTGCTTTGTATATTTTTGGGGATTCATTTGTAACAAATGTTTTGATCTTAGATTTATATATATATCTTGTGATGTCTACTTGATGTGTATTGATTAATGTTTTTAATTAATTATCTACTTCTAACCATATGTCTATGTATGCTAGAATGGATGATTCATGTGCTTTTCTTTAGATTTAGTGGAGTTTATACATGTCTATGTGTATAGATGAAGTTAATTTAGAGATGGTCAAAACATAGTAGTTAATTGAACACATTTGTAATTTATTTGATGGTTCACTCTTGTTTCTTGATGGATTGTGCCATACCTTTAGCTTACTTAGTTTAATTTCCATGTCTTTAGTGTAGATATAGTGTAGTTGCTCTAGATTCATAGATAGATGGACAATCTATTATTGTTTCTTGGTGTTCCATACTTATGAATGCAAAGGGTGTGTATTTATAGATAGTTGTGTGTACATAAATTAGGATTTCATTGAGTGGATTTTGGTCTCATTTGATAAGTTGTGTTTTCCATTTTAATTAGCTAGACAATCTATACTTATTTGCCTTCCATGCCTAGTTTCAATTAATGACACACACACACAAGTTACAATTCAATTTCACCATCGATTTACAATTACTAATGTCTAGTGAAGTCAAGCTTAGTGGTGAGCTTTAGTACCCCAAGTCCTCTCCTCTATATATCTTTTTCTTTACCTTATAAATCATTGTGTTTTGTTTACTCTAATTTCAATTGCATTGTATTGTAATCAACCAAAGAAACCATTTTTTTATCACTTGACCTACTAACCCTATACATTGTTTCCATTACAAGCATGCCTTAAAATCCCTTGGGACGATCCCTACTCACCCTAGCTATATTTTTAGTTAGAGGTAGTAGTGGTTTTTATAAATTTAAAACTTGGCCACACTATTTTACACAAATTTGGTTGTACTCACGACACCACACCATAACACCACTTATATGAACATGTCATACAAAATATATCTTAACATACTTCAAATGAACTTCATAAAGGCAAATCATTTAAAGTGGGAAACAAATTAAATTTTGAACTGAACAATACAACCTTTTACAAACAGGTGTCAACATTTTAATAAATAAATAATCACATCTTTTACCTAATATCTTGACATGAATTTAAGTCATACAGTAATAAAATGCATATCCATACATTCATACAATTTTTAAACATGTGGCACCACAAATATGAACATGTCATACAAAATATATCCTAACATACTTCAACTGAATAACATATCTTTTCACAAACAAGTATCAATATTTTAATTAATAAACCATTAAATCTTTTTACTAACATTTCCACACAAATTTTACTGATAAAGTAATATGATGCATGTCCAAACATTTGCAAACTTTTTCAACATGTGGCACTACTTATATAAACATAACATATAAAATAAATCCTAACATACTTCAACTGAATAGCATAACGTTTTACAAAAAACTGTCAATAGTTCAATTAATAAAATATCACATTTTTATAACTAGAGTAATATCATGGATATGTACACATTCAGAAAAAATTTCAACATTGGCACCACTTATTACTATAACTAAATTTGACGTTCCAAATCAATTTCAATGAAACAGTACAATTAACTTAATTTCAATGAAACAGAAAAGATATATTCACTAGAAAATATATTAACTTTGTCTCTCAATTGATGGTCTACATGTTACTATAATTAAAATTGACATTCCAAAAAAATTATAATGCAACAGTAGAATTATAAATTTAGTTAGCAACACTCACACTATAAATTTATTGGTCTTAATTTATTGAATCACAATTAATTAAGGGGTTCTTTCACAAAATTACTAATATATAAAACAAAATTACTAATATATAACAAATTGAATTACTAAAATAAGATGTAAAATTGAATTATAAATTACTGCAACAGATTACCCATTAACTATAAATCAGAGGATTTCTGCCCTACTCTAAAAATCATATGTCAAATCTATTTAACATAAAACAATTATTTTGAACACTTGCAACAGATAAATAAAACCACCATGCGGCGCAATGATGAACACTTATAACAGATAAACAATATTATTCAAACAATTATTATGAACACTTATAACAGATAAATAAAACCACAGACTCTAAAAATTTAACATACCAAAATTATGCAAATGCAAAAAACTAACAAATTTATAAATATTTCTAAATCACAAATGAACACTTATAAAAGATAAATAAAACCACAAACTCTGAAAATTTAACATACAAAATTTATGAAAATGCAGATAAACAAACAAAATTACAAAAAATTTATGATGGACTTCTACGGAACGTATGGTGGCCTTCTACTTCTTGCCGGAATGTATGGTGGACTTTTACTTCGTGCTGGAATGTATAGTGGAATTCTGCTTCTTGCCGGAATGTATGGTGCTTCTCGCCGGAATGTATGGTGCTTCTACTTTAAATCTGAGCTTCTTTGAAAAGGGACAATGTTTTGCTTGTTTGATGAGGTTGTTTCCGGAATTTACGAAGCTTGGTCTTTGGCCGAATCAGAGAGACTTCAATTTCAGAGGTAGGTAAGCTTGGTCTTTAGCCAACTGATTTCAATTTTAGAGGAAGAGAGACCTAGAGGGAAATAATGAAATATCAAGAGGATATAGAATAAAATTTTGAAGGGAAATCACTTTTATGTTTTGGAAGAAATTTGAATTTCATTTTGTATACATTCTTGTACAGATACATACGTGTGTATGTATATACACCTACCAAGGTAAATACCTTTTTTTACTAAAAGGGTCATCTCACCAATTTACCCCTCCAAGGACAGCCTCCGGTGAGAGGTGCCTTGGAGATGATTTTTTCCCTTAACTCAAAGTCTTCATTAAATAGGCTACAATTCCCACCTTTGAACACAAAATACATAATTGACAATTTTAAATTAAACGCAACTTTTTTTTTTTCAACTTACTAGGCACAAAATAAAAATATATATAAATATAAGTAGTTGGAAGTCAAGTCTTCTATAGCAAGACACTTTTTAAGACAAAGCTAGACTACTGTGCAATTATTTTATTTATTTGTTAAATTTAACTTTATATTACTATTTTCCCCGATTGAAAATCTCTGGCTCCACCCCTGTAAGCATCCAGAATTTGTTGACATGACTAGTTACCATATTGGCACTACATCAACCTCCCCAGGTGAGATAGAATTGTCCAAGATTTTTTCTTTAGTTAAGGGTAAGCTTGTATATAGAAGAGGAAAGAATGTATGTAGGCCATTTACGGGGAACAATACAAAGCAAAGCACAGAGGCTAGCAAGCTAAGGAAGCACTACATGTATAGAGGCTAACAAGCTAAGGAAAACAAACAACTAAACAATATGAAGTGAGCAAAACCACTTCAGCATCACAACATAGGACATCCAATGATCCAATAACATTTACAAGCAATCCACCACCAAGTATCCCTAACAATCTCAACTGAAAAGGGATTGAGCAGGTGCAAAATTGCATCCTTCAAAGAAAAAAGATGTTGTAGGTCCTTCAACTTATCAATATTCCTAAGGTCTGCAGGGCACCTCAGCATGAAGGAGGCCAATCTCCCTCTGATACATTTCCTGATCTGATCAATGATATAAAGAGGGGAAGAAGATCTATTTCTGAAAGCCCTAGCACTCCCCTCAAGCCAGATGAAATATATTACAGTAGAGAACAACTTATGGACTAAAAAACCTTTAGAATTCCAGTTTGCAGAAAACCATAATATATGATCCTTCCAACAATCTGGTTTGATATAGAACCCTACAGAATGCTGGATGAAAGTGCAGATCTTCTCTGTGTACTTACACGGAAAGAAGAAGAAATCAAAAGACTCTTGATTGGCTAAACACAAGTAACATGCATTGGTGTAGTGTTTATACATCATTGGTTTTGAATCAGTTCATTGGCAATTCATATTGGATGCCCTGTTACTGTTTGGCTTTCCAAGTATTTTTGTCCATTGGATTGCACAATGCATCACCATACCATCTTATTCCCTATCCTTGAATGGAGAATTGTTTGGTTTCTTTAAAAGGAAGAGAGGCCTTAGGCAAGGGGACCCCATATCCCCCATGGTCCTTACGATGTCTATTAACCATGCTATTATCCAAAATCCCACCTTTAAGTTCCACTGGAGGTGCAACAAGATGTCCTTAACACACTTAGTTTTTGCTGATGATGTACTTTTATTCTCATATAGGAATCACGCTTCTGTTCAAATTTTAGTCTTAGCTATGGAGGGTTTCTTCAATTGTTCAGGGATGTCAATTAATTGTAGCAGAAGTCTAGTTTTCTTCATTGGGGTGGACCACATTACGAAGGGTGCAATTCTCTCTTTGGTGCAATGTAATGTTGGATCACATGATTTTATAAAATAAATAATAAGATAAATGGGTACTAATGTCATGTTCATCGGTAAATAAAAAATTCATTCACACCATGCTAGAGACTATTGAATGTAAAAAAAAGTAATTAGTAAAAAATATATGGCAATCATATCCATTGGTTAATTACTAAGCGACATAAACTTAGTGACTGTTGAATGTAAAAAAAAAAAAAAAGTAGTTAGTAAAAAAAATATAGCAACATAAACTTATTATTAATTGATAATATTTATAATTACTATGTTGACAGTTGTCTTCGGTGACTTTTTATATTAAATAAAATTTATACAAAACAAAACAAATTAAAATGTGTGCTCTTTTTCTTTTTACCTTTTTTGAAAGGTAAAAATGTTTGCCTTGCTCTATTGTATTCTCGTCATTGGCTTTTATAAATTTATAATGAATATTATTAAGAATTTTATAATAAATTAAATTAGTTATGACTCAGGAAATCTAGAAAATCCTACTTGTAATTATCAAAAATTAATTAATGAAACTTGTATTAGTATTAGACCTTTAAATTATTTGTAATTAGATTATCCAAATAAAAAACTAAGTGATAATTAGATTAAGCAAATAAATAAGAGAATTGTGCGCTATAAAATATGGGTTTTTTAATTTTTTTAATTATCGAGTATATATTCATGATTTCCATGTATACCATACACTAAAAGACAATAAACAAGGTCCATTTTCTTTTTCTATTTTTCAGGGGCGCCTCAAATACTTGCACACGGGTTCGGAAAGGTGGGTGCTCTACCAATTAAACTATTAGATAATGACCAAACAAAATCCTTTATTTAAGGATTTTTCATACTTTCATAGAGATTGTAGTCCTTCATTAAATCAAAATAAAAAATAAAAAATAAAGAGTCATGTAACACCGGAAAAGAAAGGATTGGAGATTGAGATATAAAAGTCCAATAGAGAGAGAGGGAAAGATAAAAATAGTGGCTAAAGTAACAGTTTTAGAAATTTTAAAATTCCATATCTAAAAAATTAATTAAAAGAAAAGAAAAGAAAAGAAGAAAAGGCTGATGAATCAAGAGTCACCGTCATGGGGAGAAGTCTAGTTGTATCGATTTCCTCATATTTTAATGTATAAGAGATTGAAATTTTAAATATGGACAAGAAATGAGAGCGTATTATTTTTGTTTGAGAAGATAAAAGAAAAAAAAATATTCCCGTGACTCTTTGTTAATTTGTTTTGTTTGCTTGCATGCTTATTTAAATCGAAATTTCAATAATAAAATTCAACGTTCTGTGTAGCACTGTAGGCATTGAACCCCGTAATGCATGCACTGAACAGTATATTATTATATACCGGAATAATCTAATTTTTAACAACGACGAGGTTTGTATTTTTTAATCAGTTCACATGCCAAAGAAATGCTGTGTCATTTTTTGAGATCCACCAGGTGATAAAAAGAAAAAAGAAAAAGTGTTTTTAATGTTTTACACAGAAAACGTGATAACTCAGAGTCTCTGAATACAGTATAGTAATTCAACAATGTTGCTAATAGATAATGCATGACATGTACAATTGTTTTATACTGAGAAAATGTGATTACTCCAGCTTGTTAGTATAGTATAATGACGTGTTAGATGTAAATGATAATATTAAGAATTCAGATTTTCTCATGTGGTGAGGGAATCTCGAAATCTGTATTATTTACTAAAGTAACACGATTTGACGTACCAAAAAGATCTCCTTTATATAATTACGGATTGGTAATGGTACGGTTTGTTAGACTAAAATGTGCGTGTCTTCGACGAATGGCATAATATAATTTCTAGTGTATGTTTATGTAAAATCATATGCGTATCTCCAACCAATGGCATAATATCATTTCCAGTGTATTATGTAAGATCATATTAACCATCACTCTTTTCAAAAAAAAAATTTTCCCTCGTGTGTTTTTTTTGTCTGATAAGTATTGATCACCTAATTAATAATTGCATATGCCTAGTTCCACTCCAAACAACTAATTGATAAGCAAAGTTCAACATTTATAGATTTAAACAACCGGCTTTTAACTATAAATTTATATTTTAAAAAGTAAAAAATTTAAAAGAAACCCAATTGATGAAATAACAAAAATTATTTTACTGAAATGGGTTCAATAAAGTTTCTCAGAATTAATAAATGCAAAAACGGATTTTTCATTGCTCCACCTTGCATCTGGAAATGTGAAATTAAATTTATCTATGTTCGATATACTAATTGAAAGCCTACAAAATTTTTGATTTTTTTTTTTTTAGCATCTTTTAAAGAAAATGACTAAAAAGAAAAGTTCATATATTTTTATTAATTATGAGGACATATTAGTATAATTTTTTCCTTATCTTGTTTTAATTTATATAATGATATTATAAGTGTGATTATATAAATATAAAATGGGTAAAAACTACTATACCAATGAACTTATATTTTTATTTGACATGATTTAAACTTCTAAAAGAAAGTTCAAAAGGTTCAAATAGAAAATTTTTATAAGTTTTGACTGGACACAAGTTATATATTTTTTTTTAAAAAAAAAAAAAAAACTACACTTATGTAGAGTTAGCAGTCCTAAATAACAAAGTAGCCTATTTTAAAAGTTCTTTTTTGCATTTAATTGAATTAAGCAAAATAATCACAAATGCATCAAGGATTATTGTCTCCTTTCAATTAAACAAGTTTCATCTTTTAGTTTATTTGTTTCCTTTGTTTTATCTTTCTGATATGATTTTTTATTTATCAACTATCTAATTCATACTTGGTTATTCAAGCTGATTCTTAATGTGTTAGAATTAATTTTGAAAAAAAGACTTGGAGGCATTTGAGATTAGCCTCCAAATTCTGTATTTCCATAGTGCTCTTCTTGATTTGTAGCACAAGATTCTAGAATGTGACATAATAAGAGGCCCATATTTATCAAACATTTTTAAAATAAAAACTTATGCGTTTGAGTGGAAAACTTTTGTAAAGATTTACTTACTTCAATCCTAGATGTAATAGACTTTTCAAATAAAAAT